TTGTTATTTACTTCTTTTTCAATGAAAAATGTCGAAAAATATGCTTTCAAAATCATATTCAATGCAATAAAGATTTGAAGTTGGAATCTAGAATTGCATTAAATATAATTTTAAAATCTTTTTATGATCTATATGTTAGTGATAATTCGGATAAAATTGGCATTTCATTATTATGTAAAGTAATATTACCGTTCGCCTTTATAACCAGGATAAATTAACGATAATGCAGATGCCAATGTCTGATTGACATTCATATCATAAGTTTTACCAAGATAATATCGACATACAGCGCAGAAATACATTTCAGAAGCAAAACTTCGTTTTAAACATTTCAGACAGATGTTATGTCCGCAGGGAGTCGTTACAGGATTATAAAGAACTGCGAGACAGCAAACGCATTTGAATCTGCAAATAATAAAATTAGTACTAAACGTTAACATTATCAAATGAATGAAACAAAAATCTGATATCTTCTATATTACCTTTCTGAAACGCAATCCAAAAAGGCAGGTTTTCCATGGATTACAGTTGCTTTGCATTCGTCCCACAATTTAGCGTTTATTTTATCATTTTCTATTAAAGTCTTTAATTCGTCCTCTAAATCAAAAACTAGCTTAAATTTCTTTCTACGTAGTCTGTTTATGAGCGCAATATCTTCCTCGTCTTCATCATCATCATCATCATCATCATCATCATCATCATCATCAATAGCAGACCGTTTCTTAGGTCCAGTTTTATTAAATTTTTGCATCGCGTCAAGATATCCATCGGGGTACAGCATTTTTAAACCAAGAAATTCGATTCTCTCTTTTCCTTCTTTAGTCCACGGTGCAGGAGCGGAATCATCTCTCCTCAATTTGTACTTCCACACGAGAAAGCCATGAGTGTTTGTATCTGGATAGTACTTTATCACTTTATATATACCATCGTATCTATAACAAATACAAGATCGAGAATTGTTAAAAAAGAATCATTAGAGAATGACACAAAAGTAAAGCATTCAATATACCTATTGCCTTCTTTTGGTGCATATTTACTATATTTCCCTAATTTATAATTGCGTATGACTCGAACCGGCTTTCCTTGTTTCCAGTTGTTCTCGGTAGCTGCCGCGCCGATTTTGTCGTTTAGAGTAGCATTACAATTTCTAGCTAATGCCAAATTCATTCTGGTTAACGTTTGATCCTTGCTTTGTGAGTTGGTTCTTTTGTTACCTGAACGTTAAAAAAAAAACATAAATGCAAGATCTCATAATTGAAAAATGATGAACGCACTAATGAGATTTTCTTTTTAACGTGATATAGGATACCTGATAAATCTCTACCACCTGACCCAGTATATAAAAATTCATCGCCGTGATCATAATCTTCCTCGTAGCCACCAGACAAAACAATAGAATACGCACAATCATTTGCTCGCCCATGAATACCAGCTACAGGCGGTCTATGTACTCCTGCCTCCGAAACCTAAATGAATGTCTTCTTTTCTTTTCATATTCTTTCGATTGTTTAAGTAGATTGTTAAGTAGATTGTTTAAGTAACTGTGCAAAATCTAAAATTTCCTCTTACCTGCATTCTGAACATCCAGGACGTACCGACATCCACACCCGGAATTGGTCCACAATGGTTTTCTGGAACCAAATAGCAGACTTTTTGTCTCTTAACACAAGCCATCCCGTTACCCCAATTCCTTTTATATTCTTTATTATCACGGATAGGTTTCTTTTTCGTTTTCAGTTTGTCTCCTGCCTGTAATAAACAGAATAAAACAATAACGATGATAATAAATTATCGATGAAAATACATATACCTTGACAATTTCGTTCTCATCATTTTTGCATTCCGGGCAGTACCAATAAGTCTCCTGTGGCAGTTCCAGGAGCGGTGGATTTAGGCACTTCATATGAAACATGTCATCACACTCGTCACAAATTAAAAGTGTATTCTCATCCTCTTTCCCAGCACAAATTTTACATCCGCACGATCGACACTCCATGTCGGGATTATCATCGCACTCCTCACAAGAAGGAGCTACTGGTCTGTTCTTGCCATTACTCTTCATGAATTGTTCATCTTCTGCAGTTCTATCTTTTAATAATTTAGGTACCTCTATTGCATATATCTCTTCTTTGACCTTTTTTCGGATGATAAGTTGATTACTATCCAAAGTAAAAATGCAGATTAATTAAAAATTTTTTTGCATAATTTTATTTAGATTTTTAAGGTTTGGTTTTCTCGCGGTACGACATGTGTTGTATGATGTCAGAGGCGAGAAATAACATGCAAAAAGTTTCGTGCGTCGTATAGCTTTATTTTCTTTTTTCTTAAAAACATATTTTCATATTCTTAGAACTTGTAAAAAATACCAGAAAATAAAATCCAATAAATCACATAAAAGTATAAAATAATTCTTGAAATAATGATTACTACTTAGCTATCAGAAACAAAGATCTAGATTTGATGATTTCTAATAAGCAGTGTACCAAAGCAAGAAACTTTTTGTCATTTCTTGTTTTTGACATTATAATTCAATATGGCTGCAATGAGAAAACAGTATCTTAATTAGATTCTGTAATAAATTTTATCCTTTATATGTGAATGTGTGTGTATATTTTATATGTGTGTATATTTTACTATTTTGCTTTACATACAAAAGCAGTAATACAAGGGCGTACCTATTAATATGTAATCGTCCTACCAATTCTCGTAGTTTTCTTTTCTTTTCTATTTGAGATATCGTAAAATCAAACCATAGCCCAATTTTGCTGGGATCATCCATGTCATAATTAATCATGACTTTTTGACCAACAGACAATTCATCGAATTCTATTGAACGTCGTGCACGTGGACGTATACGTGTTTCAGGTACATTGACAGGGGAAATTACGCTATCGAATTCCCATATTATATTATAAAGTATCTCATCACCCTTTTTATAAATCTTTTTATAATGGCTTCGAACCAGGCACCAGTTCTTTGATCGCTGCAATCAACTGCATCTCCAATTTTATAATACAAACTCTCAGCTTCTTCTAATCCTTCTTCTTCTTCTTCTTTCCCTTCATCTACTTCACTTATTTTTTCCTCCTTCTCACTCTCATTTTTGTTAGATATCACTTCATTCTTGGTATTGTTTTCCTTTGTTTTTATCATGAGCAATATAATATCATTAAAATTGATATTATAATTATCCAAGTGATAGCCATTCTCCAATTGTTTTCCAGAAAAAAATAATCGTTGCAAATCCTTTTCAACGTGCAATTGTTTTTCAATCTCATGCTGAAGAAAAAAATATCATATTAATTCCTTCAATGAGCAAAAAACAAGCAAAATTTTACTATTTGTGCTACAAATAGCAAGGAAAATAGTTTGATTTCAATGAACTCAATCTCCAGAGCTTTTTGATCGCTGATTACAAATTTTGAGTACAAATTCGTGATTAGCAATTATAAAAACTCTCGAATATTGAGTTTTATCGAAAAATAGTTCTTTTTCACATTTCCACTACATCGGATCCACTTATTATTACGTTAGTCATTTCTATTTCTATCTATTTTGATACCATTTTGAATTTCTGAATTGCAGATTCATAATTATGACGTCTAATATCTTGAAGTACCAAGTTTATCCAAATCTAAACTCTGCGCACAATGAAGAAAATATTAAGAAATATTAAGGAATAAATATTAAATTTTAGAAATAGAAATTCAGAATAAAAAAAATTCGGAATAAAAATTAAATGTAACGCACAATAAATGCAAGTAAGTATAAGATTTGACTATATTTTATACTTATTTATATTAATTATGCGTTACATTTAATTTTTATTCCGAATTTTGATTTACAAAATTTAATTTATTCCTGTTCCTAATATTTGCTCCAGTGCAGACCCTTATTGCATTTTAGTCTATCATATAGGATCCGCCATTTTGAATTTTATAATTTTGAATTCAGGTGGTCAATTGTGTATTTTGAAAGTAAAAATTGTGGACAAAGTAACAAAAGTGAGGAAATTCATTGGAGTATCTGCAACTTCATATGTCGAAAGATAATAAATTTTCTCGCTTTTGTAATTTTCATCTCACTTCAAGATACACAATTGATTTCCAAATTCGTGATCAGCGACCTCAAAACCCCCCAAGATATCATCGGTAATCATTGGCTGTATTCAGTAAAGAAAGCAGCTTTGCAATTGTAATTGTAAAAATCTTTAACATTTTTGTTTTTAGCTCTTCATGGATCTAAATGTATAAATTAATCATATTGAAGAATTTTACAACAATTGCAAAGCTGCTTTTTCTGCTGAATGCAGAAAAGCAATATTGTACGATTCTAAATATATTTTTTGCCCCATCCGTCATATGGCGGACTTTGAGCCAAGTATTACTTTTCAATGGCAAGTCTGACATATGGCGAACTTGCCATTGAAAGGTAATAATATAAAGGAAATTAATATATTTTATATTTCATTTTTATATTCGTTATTGATATTCATTGTTGATACTTATAGTCTAATCTTATATTTCAATAAATAAATAGATACTATGATTTTTTCAAATAGAATAATCTCATATTATTAAATTGATATACAATTTAATATTATTATTATGCTTCATAAAAAATATACATATAACATCCATTTAATGAATATTTTTAATTTTTGTCTAGGCTTTGTATTTTGCACTTCTGTAAAACTTTGTTTTATTATCATCATTGTGACATAGAAATGATTAAAAAAATGCTCAATCATGATGATAAACATTGTTACAGATTTTATATTTATACATTTTTGAAACATTTGTCCAACATATGTCTTATCACATCTGTTATCACATATGTATTATCACATATATAATTACATGTATGGTGATATCTGTGTTATCACATCCATGTTATCAAATGTATTGTGAATCATATATAATATTCTTTCATTATTTGAAAATATGACTATATAAGTAATCTTGAACTTCGTTTTAAGTTTTAAAAATATATATTTTACATCAGATTTGAATGTTTAAAAGTTCTATATTGATATATATATATACAAAAATTCTTTCTGAACTTATATTTCTGCATAAATTATAAAATTTTATATTTACGTGATTTTTTCTGATTTTATATTTAGAATTATCAGGAAAATTTTTAAGAAAACTCAGAAACTTCTAATTTTATTTCACCTAAAAATATTATCTACTGTAATATCATCACTTTTATAATTTGTTTTTAACTCTTCAAAAAAACATGAAATGAAAAATTGTGAAGTCCATAGAATTCAATTTAATTTATAATAATCTTCCTTAATTATCAATATATTTCTTACACCAAATACTTTAATGCAAAATATATACATATTTAACAAGAATCATAGGAAAGAGGAAAGTTCAGTAAAAGCAATGACTAAGCAGCAATAATAAAACTGCAATAATTAATCAATGGTAAATTTAATCAATGGTAAATTACTTATAAAAATAAATAAATAAATAAAAATGACTGATTGTATAGTATTTGGCAGATGTAACAGTGGCAAACTTCACAAAATTATCACTTCTATGCTAACCATTTGAAGATGGTACCAAGCTGTCACATGGAAACACTATTCGTTTCACAATTTAAAACAAATTAAATAAATAAATAAATATGACTAATGAAAAATAACTGATTCTATCATATTTGGCAAATGTAACAGTAACAAACTTTACGAAACTACCACTTCTATCCTGTCACATTATCAAGCTACTACATGGAAACATTATCATTTGTTTCACAATTTTATATGTAAACAAATTCGCCAAGCGTTCTTCCTCAGAAACCGACATCTTACAGAACACAAAGCCATATATTCAATAGAATTATGATTTTTAAAATTTTTCTCTTTGCACTTGTTGGAGAATGAACAGATACCTTCACATCTTCCACAGTTGTTAATTTGGTTAGCTGCATCGATATTTCCTTCTTTCCGTCTGTCGTCTTCACTTTCACGGACATGTTTCATGGAATGAATTTTATCAAGTTATCAAGAAAATAATTTAGTAGTACTCGAATCAGGTGAAGGCAACGTAGAATGAAGCGATTCAGACGTCGACTGGTTGACAGGCAAGGCTGTTGAAGAAGTAACAGATGGAAAGAGAAAACGAAAAGAAAGTACGAGAAGATAATGAGCTTACCACTTTGCTTACTTTTTATTTGTATATTCATTAACCGTTACAGCTGTTCATAAGTCTTGACAACAGTCCGTTGAGCCATCTTTGGCCTAAACTGGCGGGAATAAGAACCTAGCACCGCAACATTACACACATATATATATATATATATATATATATATATAG